GCTCCCCATCCTAACCCCACCTCTTCGTATTATTCATCCTTATTGGCCTCAAATCACATATGGTATGAGTGATAATGATATTTTCATACACGCATGGTCAATGACACGACATCACAGTCAAACAACGAATGCCTTAGTAAAAAGGGGAAAAACAATAGGCTTTAAATACTAAATCCCACGTTCTCACAAAAGTTCTAATGTGATATTGACTAATATTACACCAGTAAACGCCACATGCGCGAATTTGGCCCATGAAAGTAGTTGAAATTTTTAAGGAATTACTACCATGTTTAATCCCTAAAATTTGACTATATTTTAATTTTAGTCTCTAAGATTTAAAACTATAATAATTTTAGTTCTTAAAATTTGATATCTTTTTTTTTCCCCTAAATTTTGATATTAATCTGAAACTGGACTTAGCGTCACACAACCGGCGAAGTCATAGCTTATTTTGTTCTTGTTCAGCCAAGTGTGTATTTAGTTATTAATATCTCCTGTCTTTAAGGTGCTAGATGGCCCTAAAAAATACTTCAAGATGCTTGATACACCATAAAATACTTTAGGATGCTGGTTGCACCTGAAAAAATATTTTAGAATGCTGGATGCATCTTAACCTATTATTTAATCACGTGTCTTAGCCCAAAATAATAATTTTGTTCGCTGATAGTTTGACGCGTTTTTATTTTTTAATTTTTGCCAATGACGTGTTTTTAATTTTTATATGGTCCAAAAGGTGATCGGTATGACTGTAGTCAACGTAAGCCTTGCATATATAATATTTTTCAGATCCTTAATATAAGACATATTTAATTAATTTGATTAGATTAAAGAGGTTAGGTAAATTAGTTAATTATAAGAAACCTTAAATTTCATTAACTCTGATTTAAAATTTAATAACTTTTTAATTTTATCTCTATTTAATATACATTATATTTATGTAAATAAAATCAATACAATAATAAATAAAGAATAAAATTGTACATCCGCACAAAAAATTTCTCTTATTGCCCTATAAATAGGGTCAAAAAATATCTTCTTTTTCTGTTTTATAAATAAGATCATAGGAGTAATTGTTAGATAGGCACTTAGGCATGTTTTAATATATTTATATCTCCTGTCTTTAATGTTATATAAAAACTAGTTTGAGATTTAATTTGATTATCAATGTAATATCATAAATTAGTTATCTTCCTCTTATATATTAAACACAGGAAGTAATAGTTCTTATGACTGCGAAACATAACAAAATATGGAATAAAATACAGTTACCTCCTCTACATTTCGTTTGAATTATAAACACCTCTATTTTATTTTAAACATATCCACACCATGTGTTCATTAAAACCAAAATATATACTACCTTCAGTCCTAATTATAAGAGCTGGTTGACTAATTTAAAGAAATTAAGAAAAGAAGTAAAGTTAGTTATTTGTAATAAATAGGTATTATCTTTCTTAAAATATCCTTACTAATCAAGTATGTTGGTTAAAACTATAATTATTAGAAGGACTATCTTGGAAAAAATTAAGTAAATATGAGAGATAAAATAGATTGGGGTCTTATATTTAGGATCAACATAAAAGTCAAATGAGATTTTATATTAAGGATCAGAGGTAGTATTATATAAACCTTTCTTTTAATTTTAAATTTCAAATTTCTTTTTTTTGATGGGTAGTTAAATGATGAATCACAACACAACGTTTTGTTTGAACTAAAATATTTCTTAATATTTTACCAAAGAATATTTCCCATTATCTAAATATTACTTAACAATTATTTAATCACGTGTCTTAGCCCAAAATATAATTTTAATACGTATTTTCAATTTTTCTTATATTATTGAAAGTTAAAATATAAATTATGTTAGATGTTAGTTTGACGCGTTTTTATTTATTTATTTTGTCCAATGACGTGTTTTTAATTTTTATATGGTCCAAAAGGCGATCGGTATGACCGTAGTCAACGCACGCCTTGCATATAAATATTGCTCATATCCTTAATATAATATCTATTTAACTAATTTGATTAAATTAAGAATGTTAAGTAAGTTAGTTAATTATAAGAAATATGACATATTTTTCCTAAAACACCATAATCATCTTTCTTAATATCCTCTCTCCCTCTTTCACATGATTGTATTTGAGAGTATTCATAGGGATAATTTTAAAAAAATTGATAAATATGAGAAATAAGTCTTATATTTAGGACTAAAATCAACTCAATAATTAGGTCTTATATCAAGGATTGGAGAAGTATATGAGGCATTGAACTATATTTTGGTGTATATGATAATTCTAATAGTTGGATTGGTTTAAGCTCAAACTATAATATTCAATTTAACCAGATGCTATCTACATTTTGATATATTATCATGACCCTAAAATTGATTTGGATATTTATAGATTTTTTATGTTCATTTTTCTATCTCTTCAAATTATACTTGGGAGAGAGGACTTTAAAAATTAGAATTAGGATTTTTATTTGAGACTCTAAATTTAAAAAATAACAAATACAGATCCAGTCTCATATTGCAAATATGAGATCTTGGTAAAATATCTAAAATGCCCCTCGGCCAAGTGATAAGTTAGCTATGGGAAATGACAAGTTCACTTTAACCAATGACAACTTCAGTAGACCAAATCACAACATGACTGAGGGTATGCCAAATAATAAGTTGATTATGAAAAATGACAAGTTTACTTTAACAAATGACAATTTCATTAGACTAAATCACAACTTGGTTGAGAGGCATTTCAGACATTTTACCAAGATTTTATATCTGCAATATGGGACCGGGTCTTTATTTATTATTTTTTAAATTGAGGGTCACAAATTGTAATTTCACATATTAAGGGGTCCTTATTTACTATTTTTCTAATTATAAATTAGCGAAAAAAATTTCCTGTCAAATGATAGATAAGATGATGAAGACTGAAGAGAGATGCTAGAAAGCGCAAAAAACAGTTTTTAACACAATGAACATGAAGTCCGGTAAAAAAAAAAAAAAAAAAACACAATGAACATGAAGTCCGGTAAAAAAAAAAAAAAAACACAATGAACATGAAGAGGAGGCTTGGAGTGAGAAGTCAGGACACAAGAGTTGATAATCTAATAAAGCGGAACACATAATACTAGCAACGGTGGTGTTTCTCCAAAAGAAAAAAATTGTAATGCATTTGACTAGAATGACAAAATTTTATAATACTGGAATGCATTTGACTAGAAAAAAAATTGGAATTTTCGTAAATAAAATTTGTATTTTTTTTAATTTTATACACTAGTTTCTTAAGAATTGGGGTAATACGTAGAACTGTTATTTAAAAAGAAAAAATTATTTTTAACCAATTTAAAAAGACATTTGTTAAGAGGTCATTTTAAAAAGAGTTTTTATGGGCTCTGGATTCTCTTGAAACCCCCTCTCTTTTTTTTTTTTAGAATTTCATCTCTACTGTTGAATAAAAAATGGATAATTTAGATTTAATATTTTAAATAATAGATGTCACCTTCTCTCTTGTTTATGTAATATAATAATAATATTTTTTAAAATATTAAATCTGAACTATTTATTTTTTGATCCAACAATATAGATTGGATTTGGAGAAGAAAAAGAGAGGAGGGATTTTGACAGGACCTCCTTCCATTTTTTATGTGCTACTCCTCTGATCCTATTTATAGGGTACTTCCAGCATGTTTTACATAGATGAAGAAAAACCCTAAATTTTATTAACTATCATTTAAAATTTAATAACTTTCTAATTTTATTCATATTTAATATACATTATACCTCATGTAAACAAAGTTAACATAATAGTAAATAAGAGGTAAAATTGTATATCCACACAAAAAATTTCTCTCAATACCCTGTAAATAGAACCAAAAAATGTCTTTTCTCTCTACTTTATAAATAAGACGAGAAATAATTTTTAGATAGGCACTTAGGCATGTTTTAATATATTAAAGATGGTCCTGTTAGAAACCCAACACTAACAAATAATATAATTAATTAAATACTTCTTGTTTCCTTGCTTCGAGACTTCTTATTTTTCACCAAAAAAAGTGTACATCAATTGTTTAGCTTTCTTCCAAAGACATATTTAGATCCCATTGCCACCTTTGATACATTATCCTGTATTATATTTAAATATATCGTTATCACTTGTGAACTCGTGGGTGGAATAATAACTTTTTCATGGAGACTTTCTAGATTCAATACTATTTAATTAGTCACACAGCACTAAACTACTAAAGGGAATTGCACAGTTTGAGATTTTAAGCCGAAAATATTAATATGAAAACTTAAACACGGATCCAATACATTTTTTTTTCCATAAATCATATACTCAGTGCTTGATTAACTATAGTATTGCCAGAACTATAGTTTTACTTTAATTTATAACAAGTTACTTTTGCATAAGCTAAACGATGGTACGTATACAAAAATACTTCAGCTTGAATAATTGACCAGTGAAGAACGTTCTGGCTTCTGAGGTAGCGGGAACCGAGCGCGTTAAGAGTGGGGCTTTTGGTCGAAGAATTCATCGGTTACTTAATTTTTTAACTGTCTCATGTTTATTAATTTTTTTTAAAATAGTCCTAATAATAATAATAATTCTAACTAATACACCTAATTAATAAGGATATTTTTAAAAAAATAACACTTATTTATTATAAATAACCAATTTAACTTATTTTTTTAATTTATTCAAATTAGTCAATTAGTTCTTATATTAATAATCAAAGATAATAACATTTAACAAAATATGGCTGAGAATTAAAAATATGCCAACACTTTTGTGTTTTTTTTGCCCTAACATGCCAACACCTTGGTGTAATAAGCAGAGCAAATATCAGGAAAAATATAACTACCACAATTTTTTATCCCATATTTAGGGGGGAAAAATAGGGTTAGTAAGATATAAAATCAGTAAAAAATTTCTTACGACAAAATTTAAGCCAGAGCTTTTTGTAATAAAGTTTGTTTTTCCAATCAAACATGACAAGCGTATTATACGGGGGAAAAATGAGTTCGATTTGACTTGTAACAGGTCGAGCTAAGTTTTATCAAAATTCACGAAATGAAACCCAACAGAAACATTGTTCTACAATTTCATTAGAGTTGCTTTCTCCCATGCTGAAAATTAGTAAAGCGGCACCAACAAGGAAGAAGGGCTAAATGAAACCCATAGTAGCCTAAAGCTCATCTTCGCGGTTGTCATCGCCTTTTCCTTGGTCACCTGTGTGTTCTACCTTCTCATTACAGATTGCATCAAACGTATGCTTCTCATGAGGCCCATATACCTCTTCCTGTTTAAGAGAACATAGAAATCAGAATACTGCAACAGAAGGATTCCACAACTATAAAGTACAGTATGGATGATCTGAAGCATTAGATCAGGACTATTCAAACTACCTTGAATACTTCAAATGGACAGAAATCAGAATGGCCACAAGCCTGTACCAAAAACAAAAAACACAAGTGATAACAGAATTAACAATGCTAAGTTTAAAATTATAAAAAGTCTAAACTGTAGCTACGATTCAACTGAAACTGAGCATAATGTCAGATCAATTTCAAAAGCTTACTGGCAGTGGCATGGGATGTTCATTGTGCAGAACTCGCACAAAGTAACTGCTGGTGGATTTCTCTGTTGCAGGACAACTATAGAGGATCAACATGTTGTTACTAGCAAAAGGAACTATAGCGCTCCCCCGCCATTTTCTTTTGTGGGGAAGCTTTGGAGGGAGCTGCCCCGGTTGCTCCTTTTGAATCTGATCAAATTCTGCAAACAGCCAAAGTGACACGGACTATAAGCACACTGCAAGTAGTAATTCCAAAATACTACCTCCAATCTTTAATATAGAGTTGGATTTGGTTTTAAATATAAGACCTCAATTCACTTTATTGTCCATGTTTATCTTTTTTCACCGAAATAATTTAACTTATAAACCAATATATAACCCATTGTTACATAGGGTTATTCTACAGAGATTGAGTCATATTTCTTTTAGTTAACTGATTTATTTCATTTCTTTAATCTGTCCAAATTAATTAAATAGTTCTTATATTAAAGACCAGAGGGAGTAATATGATCCATGGTTTAGTTTTCAGTAATTCATGCTATCACTTTAAAAGCCTCACCAGATCCCCCATGAAAAAGACCGAGCAGGCATGAGAAAGGAAGTAGAGTTTCAGCATGGGCAAACCTAAGTCTTGCCTTTTCATAGCTTCCGGACGTTCGTTTTTCTAACAAAAAAAAAAACAACCAGCAAAATGAAAATATGCCAAAAGAAAATTTCATGCAGGCATCATTCAAAAGGCAAAACAACTATATATGCCACATGACCATTTGTAAGACCACATGTAAATACTATTATATGCTTGATACAGTAGAACAACATGACAGTTAGAGCTTAGAAAACTATTATAAGACCTTTACTTGACAACTTTAAGTCACCTTGTTAGAACCTAATTGCAAGGTATAGGATTTTGAGTCCCACACTAAACACACAAATTCTTAGCTTTAACCTTCTAAACTCATGGACTAGCTTTTGGGGTCATGGTTCTCCAAAACGTTTGGCTCATCCGATGGCGGAACATTAGATATTATTAAACAATTTATAATCTTTACTTAATTGTTCAAGTTTCAAGACAGTGAATTTGTCTCTGACAAAATTCAAGGCGAATACAACTGAGTACTTATTTTCGAAAACAAAAGATTTTTTTGCTAGAGAGGCAACGTTTACTACAGTCATATAGGAGCCAACTTATAAATAAGCGCAAGTTGACAAAAATTATGCGCGCGCATGCGTGCATAAAAACTACCTTCTCTAGCTTGAATAGCTTGCTTCATGGATTCAACAACATCTTCAAGTAAAGGCACTGCCATTATATAGTTTAGTGGATCTCTACAACCCTTCAATTCATAGAGCTCCAGGTCATCCGTCCACTCTAACGAAGTAAGCTAAAAGCACACAAGCAAAACCAACATTTCAATGAGCATTCAATAATTAGGGATAAACAAATACCAAGTCAAACCTGGCCTTGTAAAATCAGTTCGAAGTTAACTCAATTTCAGAAATCTTTTATGCCAGAAGACATTTAATACAGAGAATAAGTCCTCACTGTAAGGTCTCCTACTATATACCTCAGAAGAGTTGAAAAGTTTACATGCTCCATTTGTTTTATCCCACAAGGATGCTTCCTGCCACGATCAACCACCAATTGGGTAATTGTAAAGAAAAAAGCAACCCCCATGGCATCGGTAAAAAAATCTTAGTTGTGGACTCCCAAAACCAGAAGCAATTGTTTGTCGTTTAAACAAAAAGGGGCAAGGCACAAAGATAAGTAGTGATCACCTGTTTACACAAAAACCAAAGAGAAGATATATCCTCCCTTGCAAAGTTCAGCCCATAGCGGCCAACCAATGCAGAAGTAATCTCATCCAAGATAGGGTCCTTGCGTTTATCAACAACAGGCTTCTTCCTTTCCCTGGAATTCTTTATTGATAAAGAAAGAGTTCATGAGCAGTGTGACAGACAGAGTCTGGACAGATACATGGCATTATAAAGCATAACAATCATATGTACATAGGAGATTAGATAAACAAAATAGTGCAATTCAGTAAAGTACCATCTAAAATCCATAGGCCACGAAATACCTTATAGTTACTACATATATCAAAGAATCTCAGAAGTATGTCGCTGGCATCACTTTCAGGTGGAACAGCAAAACCTGCGTGCTTCCCTGGTCCACGGCCTCCATTACCACTGAAAAGCCCCATTCTAAATGCGTCAGCACTAGCTGATGTTCGAAGAATCTGTTTGACAGAGAACACAGTTGCACAAGTTTTCTAAGGTCAGAATTTCTGTACAAGCATAGAAAAGTGCTTTCTTAATTCACAGCCTATGAAGCCCATCCGCTTCATAAAAGGAGCCGTTCGTGTTTGACATAAGCCAAAAGGCTTTTTTACTAATATACTACAAACAGTAAAAGAAATTACCGAGATGCAAGAAATATCTACCAAAATAGTACCCCAGAAATCATTCAGTCTGTGAATGAGTTAAGATCTAGAAGTGGGCAATTTCTGGTGTCGTATTTTAGTAGACACTTCCCACTATGTAGCATTTCAGTAATTTCTTTTACTGTCTTATTGGTGGAAAAGCCCCTGCCAAACACTTGTACGACAAGACATGACACTTCACATTACATATGAACACTTAAAATTCCTAGTTGACAACATAAGTTGCGGTTGCAGTAGATTTGACCATCAAACCACAACATTAACCCATCAACTCAAAATAACAACTCATTTCTTTCTTGAAATAAACTGATATTAACTAGACACAAATTTCCAAATGACTTAATCAAACAGAGAGAAAAAATTGGGAAAAACAAGTCAAATCAATCTAGACAGAAAAGAAAGTTAACGATAAACTAACCTTAGTCGGATTTATAGGATATATGTCTGGATGGTACTCCTCATCAAACAAATTTGGAAATTTTTGCCTAGTCCTGATTCCCAGATCATATAATTCCTTCTCTCCTATGCTCATTAATTCACCATCATTGCTCCCTCCTTTCCAAGGAGATTCCCATTCAAGCAACCATGAAGGAACTCTATCCAACGGTAAATTTTGTTTTTTTGCACCGCTTATCAGTGATTTCAGACTATCTTCCAAACGGTCTAATTCCTTTGTCCTTTTCTTTGTAGGAGATCGGGTTCCGTGTCTTGCCTGAGAATATGAAGCAGCATTAGCATCCATAATTGGTGATTAAATTATCACAGATGGATCATTTTGAAAGGCAAGAAAATTTGTCATAAAGCAGACTATTTGTCTAAGTGTTCCTTCTATATCTATGGCGCTATGATTTTTAACAGTGGAAAGCTCAATAATTGTTAGCGAAAGTTACCACAAGATTTAAGTGGATTGGAACACATCCTTCAGGAATATCAGAAGGAACAAAGGAATTGTCAGCAATGTCTTTCACAACTCCATATCTGCAGTGAGAATCAAAGAACAATCAAACAATCGGTCACAAATGAAAACCTCAATGCTTAAGCTTCAAGAAATTTTGAAAACTAACTGTTTCTATAGAATGAATTAGTATGCAGAGAAACTTTCAAATCTGTTTCAGCATACGAGAACATATAAGATGGAAATTCAGAAAGGACCTGGTCACAGTAGAGAGATGCTGGCGAACATCGAAATCTCCTTGTGCAGTGGAGTAGAAGCCTAATGTGGACAACAAAAGTATGCCCAGAAAAAGCAGAGCGTGCTTCATTATTGCTGGAGCGTAACTTGCAATCGAATAACCAGACTGAAGTTCTGAATCACCACACTCGAAAGGAACGCTTTCGAAGAATGATGAGCTCAACAAGAACAGAGCAGAATCTTCTGGTTCTATCTGTGTGTTTTGGGCTGTGGGTCCAACAATTTCACACGTGTTGGTCTTTTATTGTATTCAAGCAAAATGTAAATAATTAATTAAGACCACTAGATTCACGCCACCTGTCCTTTACACTCCCGCCCTTTGCACTTTTGGCTTTTAGAAGATTCAAGCCAATTGGATAAAGTCGTAACTTCAGTTCTTAAACTTGCAATTATTATCGTCTTGGCTTAGTTGAAATTCAATCACTAAACTTTAATTTATTACAATACAATCCTTGGAGTTTTAACAATTAAAACTTTAATCCCTAACCTTCGTGAAATATATAACTTTATTGTCTACCGTATGGAGACCAATATTTGAAATGATTAAATCGCAAAGAGTGAACTACATTCAGATAAAGTCCAAATTATAGGAATTAAGCTCAAAGATATTCAAACAATAAGACTAATTTTTTCTAATTTTTTTATTTTGTGCACATAGATTGATATGTTTAATTTTGCATGATTATGACATTCACTTCATGGTCCCATAAATGGAATGTCACGATTTTGATCTCATTTGTAACCTTAGGTAATAATCCTCTGGTCCTTAATATAGGACTTAATTGTTGAGTTAGTTTTGGTTCTAAATATAAGACTCATTTCTCATATTTATCAATTTTCTCTAAAGTACCCCTATGGATGCTTTCTCAACCATAATCAAGTAGAGGAGGGAGAGGAGGTATTAAGAAAGATGATTATAGTATTTTAGAAAAAATATGTCACATTTCTTATAATTAACTAACTTACCTAATTTTCTTAATCTAATCAAATTAATTAAATTACTTCTATTAAGGATCTTATATTAAGGATCGGAGGAGTATATAACTTCTAATTTTTTTAAAAAAAAACTTCATATGATTATATTCAAAATTACTTCTTTGAAAAAAAATGTCCCACCAATAATTTTATAATCTAGTAGCACCAAAGTTCTGTTAAACTCACGTTCTCACAACAATTCTGATGTGATATTGATTAATATTACACCAGTAAACGCCACATGCGCGAATTTGGCCTATGAAAGTATTTGAAATTTTTTAAGGAATTAATACCATGTTTAATCCTTAAAATTTGACTATATTTTAGTTTTAGTCTCTAAAATTTAAAACTATAATAATTTTACTTCTTCATATTTGATCTCTTTTTTGTTCGCCTACATTTTGAAACTGAACTTAGCGTCACACAACCTGCGAGGGTCATAGCTTATTTGTTCTTGTTCAGCCAAGTATATATTTAGTTATTAATATGTCCTGTCTTTAATGTTATATAAAAACTAGTTTGAGATTTAATTTAATTATAAATATAAGATCATAAATTAGTTATCTTCCTCTTATATATTAAACACAGGAAGTAATAGTTTTTATGACTGCGAAACATAACAAAATATAGAATAAAAATACAGTTGCTTTCTCTACATTTAGTTTGAATCATAAACACCTCTATTTATTTTAAAAATATCCACACCGTGTGTTCATTAAAACCAAAATATATATTATATAAACCTTTCTTTTAGTTTTAAAATTCTAATTTCACTTTTTTGACGGTTAGTTAATTGAGGAATCACAACATTTATTGACGTTTTGTTTGAACTAAAATATTTCTTAATATTTTACCAAAAAAAATTTCCCATTAACTAAATACTACTTAACAATTATTTAATCACGTGTCTTAGCTCAAAATAATAATTTTGTTCGCTGTTAGTTTGACGCATTTTTATTTTTTAATTTTTGCCAATGACGTGTTTTTAATTTTTATATGGTCCAAAAGGTGATCGGTATGAACGCAGTCAACGCACGCCTTGCATATATAGTACTTATCGAGTCCTTAATATAAAACATATTTAACTAATTTGATTAGATTAAAGAGATTAGATAGCTTAGCTAATTATAAGAAATATAACATATTTTTCTTAAAATATCATAATCATTTTCCTTAGTATTCTCTTTCCCTCTTCCACTTGATTATGGTTAAGAGAGTATCCATAGAGGTAATTAGGAAAAATTAATAAATATGAGAAATAAACCTTATATTAAAATTAAAATCAACTTAACAATTAGGTCAATATAAAAAATCAGAAGAGTATACGAGGCATTGAACTATAGTTTGGTGCATATAATAATTCTAATAGTTGGATTGGTTTGAGCTCAAACAATACTTCACCTTGAAGAATTGACAGTGGAGAACGTTCTGGCTTCTGACGTAGCAGGAACCAAACGCGTAACGAGTCGGCTGTATGTTTCGGTTTGGGGCTTTTGGTCGCACAATTCATCTGTTACTTAATTTTTTAGCTGTGTCTCATGTTTATTTTTTTTAATTAAAACAATTCTTATAATAATGATAATTCTTACTAATACATTTGATTAGTAAGGATATTTTTGAAAAAATAATACCTGTTTATTATAAATAACTAACTTAACTTATTTTCTTAATCTACTTAAATTAGTCAACTAGCTTTTATATTAATAATTGAAAATAGTAACATTTAACAAAATATGGCTGAGAATTAAAAATATGCCAACACTTCCTTTTTTTTTGTTTTGCCGTAACATGCCAACACCTTGGTGTAATAAGCAGAGCAAATATTAGGAAAAATATAACTACCACTTTTATCCCATATTTAGGGGGAAAAATAGGGTTAGTAAGATATAAAATCAGTAAAAATTTTCTTACGACAAAATTTAAGTCAGAGTTTTTTGTAATAAAGTTCATTTTTCCAATCAAACATGATAGGCATATTATGGCGGGAAAAAATGAGTCTGATCTCACTTGTAACAAGTCAAGCTAAGTTTTATCAAAATTCACGAAATGAAACCCAACAGAAACGTTGTTCTGCAATTTTATTAGAGTTGCTTTCTCCCATGCTGAAAATTAGTAAAGCGGCACCAACAAGGAAAAAGGGCTAAATGAAACCCATGGTAGCCTAAAGCTCATCTTTGCGGTTGTTATCACCTTTTCCTTGGTCAACTGTGTGTTCTCCCTTCCCATTACAGAGTGTATCAAACGTATGCTCCTTATGAGGCGCATATACCTTTTCCTGTATAAAAGAACATAGAAATCAGAATACTGCAATTGAAGGATTCCACAATTATAAAGCGCAGCATGAATGATCTGAAGCATTAGATCAGGATTATTCAAACTACCTTGAATACTTCAAATGGACAGAAATCAGAATGGTCACAAGCCTGTACCAAAAACAAAAAGCACAAATGATGACAACATTAACAAAGCCAAGTTTAAAATTATAAAAAGTCTAAACTGTAGCTAGGATTCAACTTAGACTTAGCATAAAGTCAGATCAATTTCAAAAGCTTACTGGCATTGGCATGGGATGTTCATTGTGCAGAACTCGCACAAAGTAACTGTTGGTGGATTTCTCTGTTGCTGGACAACTATAGAGGATCAACATGTTGTTACTAGCAAAAGGTACCATAGTGCTCCCCCGCCATTTTCTTTTATGGGGAGGCATTTGATGGGCCTGGCCAAGTTGCTCCTTTTGAGTCTGACCAAATTCTGAGGACAACCAAAGTGACACTGACTATAAGCACACTGCAAGTAGCAATTCCAAAATACTACCTCCAATCCTTAATATAGAAGCTAGTCATAGAGTTGGATTTGATTCTAAATATGAGACTTCAATCCACTTTGTTATTCGTATTTATTACCAAACTAATGTACCTAGCTTATAAACTGATATATAACATATTGTTACACAAAATTATTTTAAGGAGGTTAAGTCATATTTGTTTTAGCTAACTAATTTATTTCATTTTCTCAATCGATGCAAATTAGATAAATAGCTTTTATATTAAGGATAAGAGGGAGTAATATGATCCATGATTTAGTTTTCAGTTATTGATGCTATCACTTTTACAGCTCACCAGATCCTTCAAAAAGACTGATCAAGCATGAGAAAGGAAGTAGAGTTTCAGCATGGGCAAACCGAAGTCTTGCCCTTTCATAGCTTCCAGGAGTTAGTTTTTCTGCCAGAAACCACAACCAGCAAGATGAAATATGCCAAAAGAAAATTTCATGCAGACATCATTTAAAAGGCAAAACAACTATACACACTACATGACCATTTGTAAGTATGACCTTCCCAAAAAATCTAAACCATATGTAAATACTAGTACATGTTTGATACGGTAGAACAACATGACAGTTAGAGCTTATAAAACTGTTATAAGACCTTTACCTAACAAACTTTAAGTCACTTTGTTAGAACCCAATTGCAAGGTATAGGATTTTTAGTCCGACACTAAACACACAAATTCTTAGCTTGAACCTTCTAAACTCATGGACTAGCTTTTGGGGTCATGATTCTCCAAAACGTTTCTATCAAACTTCAATCCCAATGGGCTCATCCAATGGGGGAACATTAGACATTATTAAACTATTTATACTCTTTAGTTAATTGTTCAAGCTTCAAGACAGTGAATTTGTCTCTGACAAAATTCAAGGCGAATATAACTGAGTACGTTTTTTCGAAAACAAAAGATTTTTTGCTAGATAGGCAACGTTTACTGCAGTCATATAGGAGCCAGCTTATAAATAAGCGAAGTTGACAAAAATTATTTTTGTGCCCATGTGTGTGTGTAAACTACCTTCTTTAGCTTGAATAGCTTGCTCCATGGATTCAACAACATCTTCAAGTAAAGGCACGGCTATTCTATAGTTTAGTGAATTTCCATAACCCTTCAATTCATAGAGCTCCAGGTCATCCGTCCACTCTAACGAAGTAATCTAAAAGGACACAAGCAAAATCAACATTTCAATGAGCATTTGATAGGGACCAAGATAAAACAGTGGAAAAACAACACTGAAACTCTACTAAATAACAATAATCTCCTTCCAAAA